TAGGTTAGCCTTGGCTTTGACATCTCGTCATGTAGTCAAATTGAAAGGTTTTGTGCTAAATTGTGTGGATGTTAAGTTAAAGAGATGACAAGAGTAGGTACACAAACAGAATTGTCTATTTATGTAAATAGAAAATACAATGGTTTTGGTAATTTAAACGTTTTAATTTAAATTTAGGTTTACATCGTTTTTAGTTTTAGTCTAGTTAAGACATTTCTTATTAATCTCTTCTTCTACTGCCTCTTCAGTCTTGAACGTTGGCCGCTTACTTGGAATATTTGGTTCTGTCAATTGCAAGGGGAAACAGTTCCTCCGCTTACCTTATCCCCTATTAATCTCTGCTAACGAAGAAATACTCATCAGCCAAACATGAAGACGAAAATATTATTCTGTATTGTTTTATGTTACATATCTTACGAATGATTTATAATCTATCTTTAATCGAACGATATTATAAACGCGATGTATTATCATTGCGCATATTTATATTGCGAAACATTCATCAACTTTTCAATCTATAAACAAGGTGATTTATTTGATAACAACTTTTTAAAACAAGTTTATCCAATGCAATAATCGTTAAAATTAAAAAGTAATATGTAGTTGTTCGTGGAATATGATAAATCTTTGTTTAATAGACATAGTTTTAAGGACCAAAATTGGATTAAATTAACATTTTCGTTTAAAAAAAAAGACGAATTAATAACCGCCTTTTCAATTTGGAGGCCTAATTTACTCCTCATTCCCTTCCCACCCTTTTTCTTATAAGGAAAGGATGGGAAGTGGAAGTGGTCTTTCCGGATGAGAGGATGCATTGGAAGGGAAAATATTTTCTTTCTGTGCATCCTCTCCTCCATCGATTAAAGGTAGGCAACGCATATGCAATTGCGTGTCTATGGGCAACGGTAACTTCGCTATTTCAGCGATTTCAGGTGGCCGCTCGCTTGTTTGCCACCTTATGAAATAAAAAAAAAACAATTCTTTCCACACTCCTAAGAATCGTAAAAAGTAAAGTTTTATAACCAACTGAATCGGTTTCAATGAAATGCTTCTGATTAGCTAAAAGTGTGAATTTTCTAGAAATAAATTATGAATATTTATTATATTAAAAGCAAACAGTATAGTAACAGATATTATTTAATCACCATTCATACTAATTATTACGTAAGCGTGACGAAGGACCATATTGAGTATCAACGTAGATGGTTCAAATACAAGTTCGTGTGAGTTTCACTGTTAAAAGACCACTCTCTCTCTCTCTCTCTCACACACACACACTTACACGCTTTTAGGGTACTTAATTAAATTTTAAAATCAAAACAAATAGCTATAAAGCTGATATTCTGCGTTACTAATTGTCTGGTAATTAACTGGGTTGCCTGGAAGAGATCGCTTATAGTGATAAGGCCACCTTTGCTATGTGAATTAGTTTTTAATCATGTCTTTATATACTTAGTAATAGCAATAAGAGTTAATAAATAAATAATTTACTCTAATAGCCATTTGAAATCTATATATTACTTAAACCTTTAGAATTAAAAAGTAAGTCGTAGTTTGCTCTGTTTTGTATTATATTGAATAAGACCATTGTAAACTGGCCTCAACAGGGTTACTTACCGTTTTATTGTAACAGGTGGTTCATATATATGTTTATAACGAAATAATCCGCGAACATTAACACCACGACTTATTACCTCATTATAAAGTACATTTACATCGATCGCTGATTCACAGTTTTTAGTATGTTACAAATTTACAAGCATTTTAGAGTTCCGTACCTCATAGGAAAAAAACGGAAACCTTAAAGGATCACTTTGTTGTCCGTCCATCTGTCTGTCAAGAACCTTTTTAGAGTTCCGTACCTCATAGGAAAAACGGAACCTTTATTTTGAAAAAGAACACACTTTTTTTACTGATTTTTTATACACGATTATAAATATTATTATATTTAAATATTATATACTAATCATATTTAAAAAATAAAAACAATGCAAATAAATATATAAAAAAATAACCTCATTAACCAAAGTATTGGTCGATTGCAATTAATACCAATGTGCGCAAATTTTTCCCTGATTCTATTCATAAAAAGCCGCAATGACATTTACCTACTCCCCGCCCCACTCCCTTCATCCCGCGTTGACCATTCATTAGCAAAACGACTCGTATTTTACTTGTAAAAAATATTGTGACCATTTTACAGGATTTTTGTCAACCAAAAAATAATGACTTCATATTTAAGATCTTATATTTATTCTACAACACCTGTTTTTAATCTAATAACAAATAACAGAACAAATAGATTAACGCTTGACCCACGATACCGTCTGATAAGTGGTTATTAATCTGATTTAATAAAAGATCTTTCTCATCTCATCATCAGCTCTCTATACGTCCCTACCGAGGGGCTCGGAGTCTACCCTAAGTTAAGGGTGATTAGGCCATCAAGATCTTTCTAATGTTACAAATAACCTTTAAAGAAAAAATAATGGGTAATTTTTACTATAGGTATCTTGAATAGATCATATTAATATATACTAAAACATTAATGAAACCTTATACTCTAATAAACTTCAATATATTTAATACTCACTAAAGCAGATATTGATTGATATTTAAATAAACAAATAAATTACTTAAGATGTACAAAAAGATACTCAATTCCATATCAATAAGGTACAATATTGTGTACCTAAGTATTTAACTTTCTCACATGTATGTGAAATTTAACTCCTGCACTCACTCGATTCGATCGTTGACAGTTTTATAAAGCGGTTGAATATTATGATTTGAGTTTTTATAAATATCAGCTACTGACATTAATCGTGATTAATATTTATCAGTTATATACAAAAGATTATATAATAAAACATACACATAACTCGTAATTATTTAAATTTATATATAAACTATATTTGTTATAAAGAATGCCATAGAATTTATAATATTTTAAACCTTTAATTATAATTAAAGTTTTAAAATATTATATTAATATTATAAAGATGAAAGATTTGGTTGTGTATTTCTTTGCATTGAATAGGCTACGACATTTCTAAACCGATTTGAAAAATTCTTTCCTTGTTGCGATGCTACACTATCCCTAGGTACATAGGCCATATTTAATATTCGATTTTTTAATTCTACGCGAACCAAGTCGTAGACATCCGCTATCTACTATATGATTACTGTTTATCTAAATCCAATAGCGCTATTTGTGTAATACAGTAGTGAAAGCTTGTTTTTTGTAATTTCGTTGATAAGTATATAGTTAATAAATAAGTCTTTATGTACGTCATCGCACGGTTATCTTATCAGTATAATTATCTAACATTGATAACGTGTATGTTCACACATGTCGCTGTTTCCGTGTACCTTGTGACAGTGTTTACTCATTTAATTAGCGTCAAATTAAAATAATATTACTTAAGAATCAAGGAATAAGTAGTAAATACGTTCAAGGTCTCCGTTTAAATCATAAAATAATTCTTCGTTTTATTTTGACAGTGATAACCATATGTTTTATACAGGTCTCAGAAACCAACTGTTAATTCTTACAACTAAATGTAAAACGTCAAAAAAAAAACTAGTTATATAAGGAAAAACAAAGATTAAAAACAAAAAGATATTTCAAGTAAGACCATTAAGTTATTGTACGATATTCTGATTTCAAAATGAAAAGTTAAATAAGTCGTAGCAATCACGTGTGTAAATATTGAGTCCCGGAGAACTGGATGACAGAATACATCAATGTTCCCTCTAGCCATATCGTGCGTCTATGTTTTTATACGGCTACGAGTTAGTCTAAGCAAGATCACATGTAAGGAAGTCCTGGTATGAACAGTTACTTCATTTTTTTTAATAGAAGACAGAAATAGTGCTGTCAAGTGTTTCTTAACTGGAGATTACGGAATTATTTTACAACTACCGATAAATATAAAGGTGTTAAAAGTTTAATTACGTAAAAACATCAAATGTATGTCTACCGCTGCTGTTTATGCAATAGTTTGACTTTGAATAACACTGTAGTTTAATTAATATAAATAACACAATATCTGCGAGGTGTTGTCACTATATTTGACAGGAATCCAATAGTGTCACATCCCTAAGTGAGTCAATAAGGCAACCGTATCCATGTGTCACTGTCAATACACTTGCATTTTAGATATACCGGAAACAGGTATTTTAAATACAGGTAATAATAAAATATCAGAAATTAAAATTACTAGAGTTTTTTACACGTCAATTATAAGTTTTTATTTTCATATATATAAATTAAAATAACTATTTCGTCACACACCGTTTTTTTTATTTTTAAACCCGTTGGTGTTTTCCGCTTTCATGACACCGAAACCGTTGATCATGATACATTTTTAACCTGTTAATGCCTTCCTTCCGCCTTTATGGCGCCAAAGAAGTAAAATATATTATCATGCATTTTTAAGCATTCAATGCCTTTGAAATTTCTGGCGCCAAAACAATGGTACTACACATGATTATATCGACCGTTTTAATTTTGCCGCCAATTTTGTTAAATCAAGAAAATATAAAAACGGTTCTATGAATCATTTTTTTTTGTTAAATATATTTGATGAATAGTTGTGTGTAAAATTAATACTGTAACACTTTAGACTTTAACTCTGTAGGTTTATGCAAAAAAGATTTTTATACCCAAACATACGTTTATAAGATTATTTATCTTTAAATTTAAATTAAGCAGCTACTTGATGTAATTTTAAAGTAATATAATTTATATGTGTGTACTTAATGTGAAATACATTCATGCTCTCAGTCAACATACGGATATAAGTTCATTACAAAAAGTGGTACCTACCTACCCACATTGTTCTATACTTTTTGGCATCAAGTATTCCGTTAGATCAACACTTAAACACTGGCGAGCCTACTCACACATGCAAGCACAACACAGACAAATCATGTATAATGATTAGAAGTCGTTTTGGTGTTTTGGATTTTGGTCGGTATTTGAAAAAAAAACTCACCCGATTAGATTCCAAGGCCTCGGCACTATGCTCCTCCTTCTGGCGGAAGCAATTAGTGCACTTGCTTTTATTGAAGATGTTCGGTGCAAATTTCCTGCAATCCGATCGCCCAGACATGATTGTCAGAGGTCAGGGTCAACTTAACGTTCACTATGTCACCGTGCACAGCATGATGGTACCAAAACACAATCACTTAAGGAATATTCGCTTTTTATTAAACGAACACGTAGTTTTTCACGCGTGCACCCACCGGTGAGTGAGCTATCAGCAAAATCACTGCAAGTAAAGTGAGCGTAAGCGTCAAATAAAACACATGCACAACACAATCTCCTTCGGTAACCGTACTCCGAAGTAGTCGAATGATCGCGTAAACAATATTCGTATTCACGTCAAAATAAACATCGATTTTACAACAAACACGCGGAGTTCGCGAGCGCACAACAACACGACCGCTCGTCCATTTTACATCTGATAGAAAAGCAAGCGCGAGCGGCGAACAAAGTTGTTGTTTTACAACTTCTCTTTTCTTGTTACGTCTTGTAATAGAAAATTCGATGTGGTTGTAACTTACCAATGTAGTGGTGACATTTGCCATCTCTCTTTAACGTGTGCAACTTAGATCGGTTTGTTCTGCTCACACTGTTTATAATTAACTTAGCAGGTGTTCTGACATCTATCGGGTGTTTTGGCATGATCGTGCCAACAAAGTATGATGACGCATGAGTCAAGTCATCAAGCTTGATGATTTGATAAGAGCTCGATAGATGGCGCTGTTTAAAATGTAATAAAATCTTTCTGACATGTAATTGAAAAATTTAATAGTAGCCTATGCGGTCCACCAAGGTATGTTTTAGACTATTCCAAATTTCAGCGTGATCCATGCAGCCGTTTTGGAGATACCTTGTAACAAACATCCATCCGTCCATACATGTTAACATTCGAATTTACAAGTAAGAAGATAAGATTCGAAGGTGGTTATAATACAAGTAAGAGAGCGTTGGTAGCTCAAGGGTTAAGAACTTGACTTGTAATCTGCAGGAGCTGGATTCGAAATCCTCCATGTGTTTTTCGATTTTCGATTTATACATGTGTATTTATCCAACGTTTCTCACGGTGAAGAAAAACATGATTATGCAACCTGCACATATCAGCAAAGAAATTTCAACGACATGTGTATTCCTGGGAGGAAAAGGCGGCGACGCGACTCGCCACACGCCACGTTCATAGGAACGTGACCACGGACCGGGAATAATCTCGGAATGACGAAAAGTGGTCCGTGGTCTTTGCCTGCCCCTCTGGTTACAGGGGTGAGTTGTGAGAGATAAGATTCGAAAACGGTATACTTGTCTAATAACAAATATGTTGGTAAGGAAAAAGACAAAATTGGACTTGTGGCCATTCTAATGTAATTTATTATGATAACAAAATTTGGAATGATTTCAGATTTCAAAAACGTACCTACAATATAGAATAGGATGTTTTATTAACCTTTCACAAAGTATTATATGTATATATATTGTTAACCCTTTTTGCACTACTCCTTGAAAGATCTGTTTTTAAATGGTCTATGATTCCAGTCTTATAAAGTTAAAATTGTTTAATATAGAAACCTGGTCATGAGGTCGTCACAATCTCTATTGACATTGCAATACTTTACATCTACGTCAATACATAAAACGAATTATTTAGTAATAAATAATCTGTGGTTTATAACGTATCACCTGTGCTTGTCATGCTGTCAGCTGTCATTTGTCTTTGTCACATCAACTTCAAACTAAACTGTCAATTCTGATGAACTGTCAGATTGTAGAAACCGAAACGGAACGATATTCGTCCAATTGAAGCAATTAATAATTGACTTATCACAATTCAGGACAGACGTTTCCTCGCTTTTAAGGCACGCTGTTCAATGCTAATTTTCAGTCTCGTTTAAACTGGCAAGGCGTTACTTGTAAACTCAAATAGTAACAGCATTTCAATTTACACAAAGGTAAGTAACTCCTTTTCAACAATTGCTTTAAATTAATTACATTAATTCTTGAAAATATACCTGACATATATCATCTATTTAATCCTATAAGATAACCTATTATTTTTTAATAAAATTTAAATATTACAACGGAAGTTTTACATTGATAATGTTTTTTTAGAAAAATGGAAGATCTTAGTTTTATCCCGGATATCCTTAGCGGGCCTCTGGATGTTTATAGAAACACCGCATCGTTTAACTGGAAACGCCTTAAACTGTCTTTGGAAGGAGACCTCGAATTGTTAAAACTTAAGGTAAGATATTTAAAGCAATTTATTTTAATTTTCAATACATGATATTATACTAAGAACAATATTATTTAATTATTTGTACCTAGTTCACACAGAAATTGGCGAATTACGTTATTTTTAAAATGTACAATAGATATTTTGAAAGATATAAAAGTTTGGTTTGTTCAAGTCTTAGTTATTGCTTCATAATATTCTTAATGGTCCATTAGACTTGACTAATGATAATTTAAGAATAAGAATTTGTGAGAAATCTTTAAATAATTTGGTTGTTGGCCTTGATACAAGTTATAAAGAATAGATTATGTTACTGATAACTTATCACTTTTAAACAAGTTTTAATGAAGTAGGCTTTTAAGTTTTAAGTCATTTTTTAATTGTTAAAAACATTATTAGGCTATTTATTTGAAACTTTATTTGTATTAGCACAAATGTCTTACTAATTTTGGTATGATTTTGGAAATTAGGGAACATACCCATACTATGTGACTAACTTTTTTTCGACCCCTCCCCCCTCTTTAGTTTTTACGTAGTAATTCATAATTATGATTTTTAATCATATCCCAGGCAAAAATTGAAAAAAAAGTAATTTGGCTCGTATTCTTCTTTATAACATAAGACTGCATGCATACTTAAATTATTAGTGAATTATGTATTATGAAAAAAAACAAGTAACGACTATGTGACTAAAATCTGAGCGCCCGCTTCTGTGACTGACCGTAGTATTTTAAAGACTCCGCTCCTCCCCCTAAACGGGTCACATAGTATGGGTCCCTCAGTAACAATTAATATATAAATTGGATAATTCTGGTACTAAAGCTTTTTAAGAAATTAGAATTTTTGAAACAATGGGATTAAGATAGTTTTTGTATGTAGTTTGAATGGAATCTTTTATTTTTACAAGTAATTGATCACAATATCATACTTAATTTAATTTTGTTACAGATTTCTCTGTGATTTTATGTAGTAATTTATCAAATAATTTTATTATCTGCATGTAAATTGTCATAACACACATGCATATTAAATTTAAACTTGTCAGTTATTGAATTACTTAAAACTGTTATATATTACTTGTAATATATAAATATTGATAAGATATATAATAGGCTATAAATTTAATAAATATTTATATCACTAAAGTTTCTGTCATAAATTCTTTCTTTTTTAATTTGCAAAACCCATTTATATGGTTTTTTCATAAGTTGTCATTCGTTAAATATACAATTGTCACTATTGAACGCAGGTCTCTAATTCGATTCTAATTTATATTTATTTTAATCTGCTTCTGCTTGCTATCTTTCTCTTGCAGTACAAAATATGGCACATCTTAGAAAGGGATCCATTGTTTGCTCACAATCAAGTTACACCGTCAGTTGAAGAACAGAAGCGTATAACACAACTTCAACTTAAGAAAATCAATGAATACAAATTTGTCACCAAGGAAATTTTCAATTCTAGTTACAGCAAAAGGGTGAGAATGATAAACAGATTTTCACATATGTTATCTTTAAATGTTAACAGATTATTTAAAATATTCTAATAGTAGCTGTCGCCCGCGACTCCGTCCACGCGAAATAATAAGTAGCAGTAGACTATCCGTTCTTCTAGACTATGTAGAACATAGTGCCAAATTTCATCAAGATCTGTTGAGCCGCTAAGGTGATGCCTTATAACAAACAGCCATCCATCCATCCATCCATCCATCTAAACATTCGCATTTACAATATTAGTAAGATTAATAAGAATGTTGCCATTTTTTTGTCTAATAGAATAGTTGAATGGCTTGAACCCATGACCATGTGATCAGTACCCTTACCCACTAACATTTATTAAGGGCATCCGTGCAGTGTCATTTCATTTATAGGTATTTCTTTAAATAATCTCTCTATTGTTTTTTTTTCTTAACAGACTAGAGCTATAATGACGATTAACGAAGCGGTTCAATCGCTGAATCCCAGTGTCTCAGTCAAAATGGCCATTGGAATCTATCTGTTTTCCAATGCGCTACTCTCTCTAGGCACAGAACGACATCACAAGTTCTATGAAGCAACTATACTAAATAGAGAGGTATGTTGTTATTTTTTATACTTTATAAACAATATTCTAACATCTTATGTAGCATAGTGTAGATCAGTGGTTCCCAAACTTATTTTGTCTACTGCCCACTTTGAGAATAAATATTTTTTAGCGCCCCCCATATTTTCACATATTTAAAAACCACTATAACTTCAAATTAAATTAATTAATTATTGTGACTTATATATGTATATTAACGGAGAATTCTAAACGAAACCCGCAACTTGAGACCTGCAGCGCTCACAAGGGGGCGTTATCGCCCACTTTGGGAAAAACTGGTGTAGATGATGAAAAAATTGTGCACTTGAGTGCTGCAAAATGACAATTAAGTTTGTAAGATTTTTTCATAATTTAAATTTCATAGTTTAAATTTAGACCTAAATACTGTTCCAAAAAAAAGTTTATTAACAACACACAACATAGAGGTGTTTCCAAAAAATAAATATTTGCAAATCAGTCCAACAAAGTTTTAATTTTGTACATTGTCAATCAAACTTTATGGTCGCTCTGCGCGAACCACCTGGTAGAGTCGTCATAAAGTTTTAATTTTATAATATAAAAAACTTACATAAGTTAATTCATAATTATATCAACTTTTTTAAACCTTGCTTTCAATGTGTCAGAGTTCTTTGATAGTTAAATGTTTTCAAAACTCTTTCGTATTCATTATAACTGCGGACATAAAGTTTGCTAAACATAACTCATAAACGCTTATCAATTTAATTCACAACACGAAAACTCCATTTGTTTGACGTAGTAACCGTACTATAAAATAAATACACACAAACGCAAATTCATTTAAATTAATTTTCAGTATTAATTTTGATGTTCGAGTCACATAATTAACTTCAGAGGTAGAGCTACAATTGATGGGTTCTGAATGTTAATATTCAATACTTATTCTGGGTGTTTCCCGTTGGGCCAATCGGCAAACTGATCGATCGGCCAAATAGAAAAACCCATAAATCCATAAAATCAATCGTAGCCATGGTTTTTTTTATTCTATGAACTCAATCGGCACCATAGGAAACGTGTCTCGTTGGGTCAATCGGCCCAACGATCAACTCGATACACCCCTTATTCTGTTGTTTTTTTTACACACGTATAACTTATAAGCTATTGGCAATTAAATTGTTAAATATTATATAATATTACATTATTTGTTCTGACGGATTTACCGTATTCGTATGATTTGCGTAAGCTCGTTACATATTGTTTTCCTGCAAGATCTGTCATATTTTTTTCCCGCCAACAAATGCTAAAGACAAATTGACGTTTTCTGACGAGGTAAACAAAAGTCTGAAGGAAGTCAGAGGTTATCCCATTCTTTGTATAATACTAAACAGGAAAACCTCTGGTAAAGGAAATAACAACGTACTTGATTGTTTTTGTCATAAATTTACCTCTATTAACATTATATACCTCTTAGGTAATTATGTAACAAAAACAGCCTAGTAAGTAATTTTTTCATCATAATCCGAAAATGACCTATAGGGCTATTCAATCAATCAATTTTATACCTTATCGTATATCTATTTGTGGTAGATCCTGGCGAGTTTCGCGCTGACGGAGATAGCGCACGGTTCGGACGCGCGACTGATGCGTACGACCGCGACGTACGATGCGACGCGACGCGAATTCGTCGTGCACACGCCAGACTTCGAGGCGGCTAAATGCTGGGTTGGTAATCTAGGTAAAACTTCAGTGTGGATTTTATTTGGCTTTTTAATGCTTACAGCGGCTTGATAAAGAATATTTGGAATTGGGAAGCAGTGAAACCTACGCTTTTTTATATATATAACTGACAGATTGAAATGTTACCTTGTTTAATTTCTTAACAATGTGTTTTCATTGAGTGAAAATGAATGTAAACTCTATTTTTAACTAGTTTTATTTAAATTACATGTCGTTTGGTTTATGTTAATTTTAAGTAGTTAAAACCTCACAAAAATAGATACAATGATAAAAACAAGGAAAGAATAATAATATTAGATAAGTTGAGGCGATACATACTAATTTAATTAATAAAGTTTCCAAAAACGTGACTATAGCATGACGTCATTTATTACGTCTTTTTATTTAATTGCTATTTTTATATATTATTACTGTATGCCTGTAATATTTATAATTTTATTTAATTATGTTAATAACAACTAAATTATTAACAAATTAAAAATATATAGAAAAAATAGGTATATATGTATAAAATAGTACAACGTCCTTTTTATCTATTTATCTCAGATCTTTTTGTCTTAATTTTCTTATATACATTTATTATCGTAGTTTTCTGAGACCAAAATGGCCGTTAAAACATATTGTTTTGTCTGTTTTGTCAAAGTTGAAAGACAAGGACGATGATATTTTTATACAAAGATTTTGGTATCAGAATCCCATGGTTAGAAGGAAATCGATGTAGGCTATAAACAGTTCATGGTCTTGAATTAGATTTAACGAAGACTTTTTTCGTTCCTAATTTATAAAGAGTAAAAAATACAAATTTTTTTATACCTTTGTCACAGAAGTGTCCCTCTGGCAAAAAAAATGGACACGCTAGTTACCTCGGTTGAAATTTATGTTGGCAATAAATTTATATATAAGTAAAGTCCTTGAATTAAATACAATGGTATATAATAAATAAGTCATAGGGCACATGCGTATCTAGTTGCAAAAAAAAATCATTTTTGCATAATTAAAACGCAAATAATTTTGACATTTATGTACGTCATGCATGTAAATATTTTTTCTCGTCGTTCAAACAATGGCTTTATAATGTGTCTGTTTAAAATTAGTTTGACAAGTGACGCCTATAAATAATGGAATTAATTTTGTATGACGATTAATGTTATACTTCTTAGATGGTTGTCATAGTGTCGGAGTTTACGCGCATTATGAATAAGTATGAACTATCGAGAATCGTTTTTATAATAATATTAATCGAACAAATAAATGCTTTAACTTATGTATTTTATTACTTTTGGAATCTGTATATAATATATAAAAGAAAGTCGTGTTAGTTACACTATTTATAACTCAAGAACGGCTTTACCGATATGGCTGAAAATTGATAGGAGGTAGCTTAGAGCCAGGAGACGGATATAGGATACTATTTATTCATCTTTATTTTTTCGAATTTATACCTTGAAGAGCTGCTTTTTATTTAACTTAATAATATTATAAATGCGAATGTTTAGATGGATATGATGTGGATGGATGGATGGGTGGGCTACACTAATTAAGTTTTTTTTATATATCCACGCGGACGGAGTCGCGGGTGACAGCTAGTTTATTATATAAATTAGCTATGTCTGGCGCAATAAACTAAAAAAAGGTTAAAAATAGTTTTGTTTCTCAACATCTCAGTTTTTGATACAATGATTTATTTTTCTACACGAACAAAATTTTCGATTGTTAGTTCTATGAGTACAACCATCGAAAATCGAAAATTTTTATAAACGATTTTAATCAACCCATATCTAGTAAAATTGTAAAATGAATTATCAAAGTAATCTGTCTTAAATAGACATACTATAGTATGAAACTAACATCATACGAGTTGTCGGATATTTCAAAAATTACGCTAACAATTTATTAATTATAATTTAACTTAAGTTAATAATTATAATAATTGTTTTTAGCGAGCGTTTAAATTAGGATATTTTCTGCTTTGTTTAACACCCTTTTTCCACCGAAACGACTAGTATCAAACTCGGGCCGCACGCGATTACTAAGAAAGTCGCTACCGCCTATCAAAATATTGACCAAAGATGTGGGAAATAATATTGATAACCAAATAGAGGACACTTACATGTGTCTTACATAAAAAACTATTATTACTTTTTAAGATTTTTTCTAAAAAAAAAAAAAAATTACAAAGAGATCGTAAATCGTACATTTGGATTAAATTGAGACGTGTAAAATGATTTGAATAAGTTTATTAGCTCATTGCGTAGGAGCATCGCGGAGTGTGCTGGGAGGGCCGGACTCGGAACAATTGAAAGCCGAATTGTTTTAACACAAGGTCGGATGTTGTAATCTGTGCGGCAGCATGTCGCATTGTTCCAATGTTGCTAAATTTGCTTTAAAAAATTATACAATGCTATATTTTGCTTCGCTTCAAAAGCTTATGGTTCATGTTGAATGCAATAATGAGCAACATACGATTTAATTAGTATTCACAGCATTGCTCCAGTAATATAAGGAATAGAATTAATGTCAATACATCTTTGTAATGCGGCAATTTACCTTTATTTATAATGACCGAAGTCAATAAAGTAATTTGATTTTACTTTTAACGGTCTGTATTTTACCTAACCCTTTGACCGCCGACCCGGTAGTAGGTTTGAAGTGATAATGAGGCCGGTGCTTGTTTCCAGGCAGAACGTGCACACACACTTTGCTGTTCGCGCAGCTGATCATGCCCGACGGCACCAACCACGGCCTGCACGGCTTCGTGGTGCCCATCCGAGACCCCGACACGCTGGAGACCTACCCCGGCCTCGTGGTAGGGGATATGGGCGAGAAGATCGGCGTTAACGGTATTGATAACGGGTGAGAAAACTTTTTTGGATTATTATTTTATCATAAATCTCATGTAACACCTATATTAACATATATTGTTAACTAGCACTGTCTCTCGACTTCGTCCTCGTGTAATTAAAAAAAATCTAGTTGTAAATGTAACCTATGTCCCGCGAACAATGTAGCTTCCAAACAGCTTCAGGAAACCTATCTAACGCACACAAACAATCAAATCTTTCCTCTTTATAATATTAATCTAGATTGAATATTGCATATTATATCTGTTTTGTTAAATTGAATATAAATAATGGCATTATACCAATACGAATGACAGTGGAATTGTACAGTTACGTTATTTTTAATTATCATGCAATTTAGAAGTATAAATGCAACTACACATAGTCAAACAAAGATACCAGCGGGGCGAGACAAAGTGCATCCGCTTTTAAGCAATTCCATACCGAACATCAACTTGGAACTGTCGCGCGACAATCACGTGGCTTATCGATAGTTATTGTCAGTTATGTACATTTTTGAAGTTTGTTATGGAATCGCTTCGGAGCGAATGCACTTTGTCGAACCTCTCAGAGCAGATGAGAGAAACGCTGTCGTTGCGGTCAACAACGCGGACACTTTGACGTTGACAGCGGGCGTTAGTGTCCTGTCATAATTAAGTTTGACTTATGCCCATCGGGGCTGTTTGTCGGACTATATATCTTTTACAATTTCTATAATACCCTTGAATATTAGCGTTGCGAATATACCAGACAGTCTACGATAAAGATACGTTACGACACATTCTTATCGCGTCGCGTGTGTCATAAAATATTGAATTCGTAGTAAATACAGAATGGCACGTTACAGATAACATTATAATCGTGTTTATATATTTATATTCAGTAATATATATCTACTATCTATACAGACAGGATACGGAAATAAATAGTTTAACACATTCTATGCTACGATTTTTTCGTACGAAGTACTCAAGGCGATTCGGTGGCATTGAACGTGTTAAAAACTTAATAGTCAAGGATACAGATGAAATATTGTTATTTTTATTCCCAAGAACCTTGTACGCCGACCCTATGTAAGTGAGATAAAGCCAGAGAGATGATGAGTCAATGTGAAAGATAGAGACAAAACACTCATCCGCTGGCGCCACCTATAAGCCAATCAAATTAAAAATTTCCGCGACCTTCACCTGATCCGATATTTGAAGTGCAAATAAAACACATATCTGACCTAATTCCATATCTATACAGATAAAGTCAGAAAGTATTAATATACATGTTTGTGTCAACTTGGCATGTTTATACCGCTTACAATTTGTAAAAATTATCTTCAAGAATGGGAGAAAAATTACTTATAAATGTATATATAAATGAAGTTGGAGTGTCTGTATGTAATTTAGAGAAAAGAAAAATATTTTCTAATTTTTTGTATGTTAGCAAGGCCTCGTTTGTTTCGAGTAAACTCCGGAACGGAGATCGATTTTGATGAAAATTTGAAGGGAAGGTAGCTGGATCCAAACGTGCATATTTTAGCCATATTTTTCTTAATTTTGCGCTGAAAAAGTCTCGGACGACCGTCGGTATACTTACCAGAAAACTTGTAAATTTTATTTATTAATATTATAAATGCGAATATTTCGATGGATGGATGGATTTGTTTGTAGGTAACTTTGGCATAGAAGTAGAACATAGTCTTGAAAAACACATAGGCTACTTATTAGATTTATTTTTAATTCCGCGCGGACAGACGCGGGCGACAGCTAGTATATAGGTTTTCACTTGTATAGGTACAGTACTATGAATAGTCCAAGGATTTATGACTCACATTCGATTGGCGATAAACATTGAAGTTATTGCCGAACGTATATCAATGTAGATTGTGAATGAGTAACGCGTTATATTGAATTTTGATAATCTGCCTCGGCATACGTTTGACGAGTCAATCACGCCATCGTTGGCATGTGGAATTGATAAAAATGGACAAAACTATCGCTGTTTTATCTTTAACATACTTGTACAAATTTTTATTATATCATTTTGCACATAAGAGTTTATTTTCAAGGTCAAATTATCTTATTAACGTAAAAGTTAAAGTATGTCCAGAACAAATCACGGTGAAATTTTGTATAGATGTACAACAAAGTCAGGAAGAACACATAGGTTGCTAATTAAATTTATTTAATTCTGTGGGGACGCAGTTGCGGGCAACAGCTAGTATTATCACAATTCAAATATCCTTTGTATGCAAATTAGTATGTTTGATGTTGACAAAATTATTTATTTGCTGGTATTTTATTATAACAATAATGTTTGTTTGCCTGCAGATTTATAATGTTCAATCAGTACCGGATACCGCGAGAGAATCTGTTGAACAGGGCCGCGGACGTCACCGAGGAGGGCCAGTACGTCAGCTCATTTTCAGACCCATCCAAAATACTTGGCGCTGCGTTAGAAAATTTATCTGCAGGTGAGTTACATATCGAAAATTCTCTTTAATTTTTTTTTGGTGCTAAAAATACTCTCATACTTTATCCGTTTTTATGAATAAAATGTAATGGCTCAGAACCCCGTCAATTTTTCAGGTTAATAAAATGTTAAACATGATATTTTTTTCTACCTACCCTCACCTCCAGTTGGGAAGTGAAGGTTGTATGAGAAAGTGTACGTGTGTACGTGTGTTGTGCGTCAGGTCGTATCGGCATAATGCAGGAGAGCTGCCACTCTCTGGCGAGCGCGGTGTCGATCGCGGTGAGGTACGCGGCCACGCGCACGCAGTTCGGCGAGCAGGACAACGAGATACCTCTCATTGAGTACGACTTACATGTTAGTATACTGACTTTTTAACTATTCTATACTGTGGTAATGGTAGGTTCTCACTGACGAAACATTTATATAATATCGATGTAAATAATTGGAGTAGTCGTTTCCTAATTGTAATTATTTATATAGACAAAAGCAAGGATTGGATAAGTCATGTAATTCATTTTTATGTTAATACTAGCTGTCGTCCGCGACACCGTCTGCGCTTTTTAAAAGACTTAATTATTAGTCTATGTGTTCTTACGGACTATGTTCCACATCTGTGCCAAATTTCTAGATACTTTCTAGCAAAGATTTATCCATCTAAAATTTAGTATGTATTATATTAGTAAAATTAAGTGTGAATATATAAAGTTTTGAAAATTTCCAGCAATGGCGTCTGTTCGGGTACGTGGCGGCGGCCGTCGTGTTCAGAATATACATTGAAAGATTCGCACAAGTATACCTCAATATTGTAGAGAAGTCGCATATGGGAGAAAATGTTGACAATTTGGTAACTTACAAAGCTCTATAATATTTTAAAAATCTATTTTCTTAAAAAAAAACGTTATTGACTAATATTTTTGTCTACTAATTATATATTCACTATTGTATGACAGAAGCCAGTTTTTAATTGAAAAAAGTAATTTATAGTTTATGATGTATGTATATGAATGTATTTGTATTTGAGAGCGAGGCGGTGTCAGAGATCCACGCGATGGTGTCGTGCAGCAAGCCGCTGCTGACGTGGACCACGATGGAGGCGGCGCAGCAGTGTCGCGAGGCGTGCGGCGGACACGGCTACCTCAAGGTTAACATCGCTCTTGTCTCCACCCCTCCCCTCCACAACCTCATACCATCATACCACACTATTTTATTCTACAATTATGGGTTTTGTTACCTAAATTATTTTTCATCTTCGTTTAATATGAAATTTCACATTAGAAACAAAATAATTAAGCATTAAAAATATATAAATAATATTACAGAGTGCGAACCTGGGCGACATCCGCAGCAACCACGAGCCGACTGTGACGTACGAGGGCGACAACAACGTGCTGCAGCAGCAGGCCGGCAACTGGCTGCTCAGGCAGTACGAGGCGGCGCGCGGCGGAGCCAACCTCGACTCTCCCCTCAACACCGTCGCCTTCCTCCGCAACCACACCACCATCGCCAAGATCTCCTTCACCGCCACCAACACCGCCCAACTCAAGACCACGCAATGTACGTCATGTCTGACATACATAACAAAATTATATCTATATTTTGTATGTGGGGTATAAACTGGCTCGTTTACCCTTTAAACTAAACTTACAACAGCTTAACAAGGACATAGACCGACCTACGGATGGTTACCAGTGTGCAAAAATTTATATTAATTATTGAGTTCCACTATTTAAAAGCAATGCATTAAAATACGAATCTTCATAATTCTACAAAAATCCACTTTTTATTTTAATATATATTAATAATGAATTATCGTACCAACATTTAAATAGTTCATATAAAATGTACTCCGTTACATAATTCTGTTTCCTTCCAGTCATAATGTCGACGTACAAATGGCTGATATGTTATTTACTGAAGCAAACATACGAAAAATACGAAGCCCTCCTCGCTAAAGGTCTTACTAAATTCCAAGCCAAGAACAAATCTCAAGTGTACAGATGGCGGAATTTAACCAAAGCTTACTCTGAATATTTAGCTCTAATGTTCACTCTGGAATCTATAGAGAAGAAAGAAGAGACGTTACAGCCGGTCCTAAAGAAGCTGTTCACTTTGTATGGTCTGTGGTCATTGGATAGACATTTAGTGGAACTTTACCAAGGAGGTTACTGTGTGGGGGAGGAGCCGGCGCGGCTGCTGAGGGAGGCTGTGATGGAGCTGTGCGGAGATCTGAAGAGCGAGGTGGTCAGTGTGGTGGATGCGCTCGCACCCACCGACTTCGTGCTCAACTCTGTGCTGGCCAAGAGTGATGGCAGAGTAAGTAACTTGTTACTAATTAAATTTTGAGTAATAATAGATCAAATGCGTTCAAGAGCACTATTATTTTATTTAAAAAAAACGGTTAAGTTAGTCAGATTTTTAGACTGGGTAGTTTAAGAATATATTTTTGTAAGACTTTAACTGTATTAACCCAAAAATATAGAACTTTTAGTAAAATATGTGTTTTAACCCTTTGAACGCCAGTGAAGGATATAATTGACTTCAAAGTGGTTATATGTTGCAACATAAATATGTATCTCCAGTCTATTTTCAGTAAAAGTATTTTATTATTTATTGGTCTAGAAGTCATTTTGCAAGTCTATACAAATTAATGTTTTCAATAGCCATGATTTGTCGAAAATCAGTGCCGCGTGTACAGTATGAAAAGATTGACGTATGTTTAAGCCAAAATGTATTTAAAATACTAGCAGTCGTCCGCGGCTCCGTCGGAGCGGAATTAAAAAAGAACGTTATTAGCAGTCTATGTATTTTTTCACACTATGTTCTATATCTATGCTAAATTTCATCGAGATCCATTCAGCTGTTCTGGAGATAGCTTCAAACAGACATCCATCCATCCAAACAATCGCATTTATAATATATACATATCGTCATTTTTTTTTTTATAATAGTGCGTTAATTTCTGAGGAGATTAGAGAAATATAATAGCGTGTGTTATGTTTTCAGTTATACCAAAACCTGCAGAAAGCGCTGGTGGGTCACCCCGGCACGTTCTCGCGCGCCTCCTGGTGGCGGCAAGTCGTGCCCTCCGCCAAACTGTAACTGCTCACATCACTGCATCACTGCATCACTAACTGTACCCTTACAACATTCCTAACATCATACATTTAAAATATTTACATTATTTTTCCTTTATTAAAATAAAAATCTTGTATTTAATATGATTTTTTCAATAGGTTTGAGAAAAATCAAGCATTTAAAGGTTAAACATTGTAAAAACTGTCAATCGCATACACTGTACGATATTTCTTTGGAAATTTTTATTTTGTGTCAAATTTCTTTATTTTGTTTAGCTTATCAGAGAAAATTAAATGATGACAGTTGTTTGTTTAGGATTTTTTAGACTTGATTTAAAATAGCGTATATACTAAATTTGATCAGATATCGTTTGACATGTAAAGTGTGACTTTACATTTTTGTTCATTATCTGTGGGAATTCCAATGAAATAATCAAAATAAACGTGAAGCCGGTAATATATGTAAGTAATTGATCACCCTTAACTTAGGGTAGGCTCCGAGCCCCTCGGTGGAGACGTATAGTGAGCTGATGATGATGAATTGAACTTAGAAGAAATATACATATAGGTGACAAATATAGAATTAAGATAAAACTGTATAGATAAAAATTATAGAGAAATTTATTATTGTATCTTATTGCATGGTTAAAGGTGAAAAAAAAATATTTTACTGTTGGATGGTACAAAAAATTCTACGGGTCCAGTGTGAGTTAAATATCAATTTTAACGTGTTATAGTATTTTTCAAATACCTTATTAGCTCGGAACATCACACGAGATGCTGCGCAGTACTTTAAGCGTAGCTAAACGTAATGGGATGCTAGAGGAGGGCACTACGTAGCTTTTTTTTCTTTTTCTCTTTATTTTTTTTAGAGACTTTTGTTCTTTTGAACATGTCAGTCCCGTAATCAACAAACACATAATCAACTTAGGAGCTAATTACAAAAATACAGTAAACTACACAAGCAAGCGATATAAAATTTAAAAAAAAAGCAATGATAATAACAATATATAACAAACAAAAATATTTACACTTAATTTCACACTACGTAGCTTAAGATCAGCTGCTAAAATATTTGACAAATACTATACTGTAGATTCAAATTATAATATTTATGAGATGTTTGCTAAGAAGCTCCTTACAGTTACTTCTAACATAACTCTTGGGTTTTACTAAGTAGAAAAATATACCCGTTTCCTTTTCTTTTTTTTTTTAGTAAGTATACGAGATTTTTTTTTTTTCGAATTGTTATATTCTATATTTACTATTGATTTTTCCATTTTATTTAATCTGTATTTTTTAAATAACATTCATCAGAACGATGTAACGTTGCATTTTATTTTTGTATTTAATATTTTTTTTTAAACTTATTATTTATGTTGGAATTAATATGATTACAATTTCAATGATTCTTCCATACATGTGATAACTGATGATATAGTGATTTACATATTATAAAGTTTTTTACTTTTAATTACAATATTATCAAAAATTTCCATTATTTTCTTTTTATGATAAATATTATTTTAATGATGATCTATTATATAATTGTGTGTATTATTGTATGAGGTCTTCTATGTATTACATTAGAAAAAAATATAATAAAACTGTTAAATGTATTTATTTAGAGGTTTGGTATTAAAATAAAGAAGAAACCATCAAAAATTGTCCCGATATTTCTTATGAAATTATTTTCTCTATGTTAGATTAGTAGTATGCATTGCATTTAAACATCCTTTAATTATAATTTAGTGCTTGGTTCAAATATTTAAAATTAATTATTTGCCTTTTTAAATATTTGTATTTTTTTTTTAATAAAAATTTGGAATCGTTATTTTTTCTTTATCTATAAATGTAACAAAACTTTGGCTTATTCTATCTTTGTATGATTTTCTACTCGAATGCTTATTAACTGGGACCCATCATGATGCCAAAGTTTAAAGTTTAGTTTTTCACTGTTTTAAAGTTTTTTTTTTTAGTTGTCATAAACATTAGGTAACAAATATATTTGTAGTCAGTAATGTAGGACTCGATGAAGTTCCTTAAACATCACTTAGGATGAAAAGGTATAAACATATAATGTTACGAATATATAACATTTATGATGAAATAAACAAAGTAATTGTGCATATCGCAAATAAAAAAGTGAAAAAAAATCCTGATGGTACTATATAAAATGTGGCATTACAACAAAATCATATTGTTTTTAATTAAAAAAGTATTTTTTTTAATTAAACTGTTATACCGAAAGATCTGCACAGTATGTCATCCCACTTGTTTCCTTCAGCAAAACAGAGGGTGTTTCAGCAGTGGATACTCGTATGAAATAAATGCTTTCCTGAGTTGTAATATCATTTGTACCCATTTTGTTACGAGGTACGTGGTTTTAGTTCAAATTATGAAGTTAATTATAATTTTTTATTTAATTTTTTTTTTTTTTTTAATGTATTTAATGTCACAAATTGTTATATTTTCCATGTTTTTTATTACTTTAGGTAAATAATGGTATTTTGTGTATAAACATATTTTCTATGTAGAAGTGCCTTCTTCTGTGTTGTAGTTAAATATATATGCTGTTTATTGTCGAATATTATTAACAATTTGTGTTCAAATTAATAAAATAATCAAATTTTTATTTATTTTATTTTCAATTATACCTAACTATGAGGTTTCACTGTCAGTCGTCAATTGTAACACGGCTTAATTCAATTGGAAATCAAATTCCTATGTATTTATGGCTAGAAATTAAAAAACAAATTTTTTACACAAAGATTTATTCACTTTAAAATTCACAACAGCTGCAAAGAAATATTATACCTAAGTAAGTAATTAGTGCAAGTGGAGACATTTTATAAATAAATCGTAATAAAAACCTCATACAAATATACTCAAAGTTGTATGTTTTGTGACTGATTTTTTTTTAAAGAAATATTTCCGTATAAATTTTAATTTGGGATATTAATTATTTAATTAATGCTACATATGTTTGTAGACTTATATTTTTGCAAAATAAAATCAGGTATTATTATATTTTTTTAAATTTAATTGGCTATAGCCATATTGATATGATTTCACAGTAAATTTTATATCAGGCAAGTAATTAAAAATATCACAACACTGAATCACTCAAAAACTTTTAGTGCATGTTATGTGCTATTTCTATATAAAACAACACGTATTAAAAACAATATATAATTTCACAATCTCTATGATTTTTAGTAATTTACTTCACACAAGTTGCCAATAGATGGCGCTATCACTAAGGAAATTCGTTTTCGATCACTAAAAGTGCTAATCAGGTCCAACCGCATCCGTTTTCATTTAATTTTTTTTTAAATAATATCAATACAATAAAAATCCATAATAAACAAAGTTTACACTGACAGAAATACTGAAATTAAAATCATTTATTTAAAGAAAATAAAAGTACAATGAAACGTTCCCGAAAAATTATATATACAAAAATGTAACATACCACAGACACCTAATATTAAAATTGACTTACAACACAATAATTCAATCTCACTCATCGTACACTAAAATTATTATTCCAACAAATATAAAAATAAAAACATCGCAATTTTTTTTTTAATTTTCCACATAGATGTCACTAGGACATTGACAGTTGTCATACAGTTGTCAGTTTAGCTGTGATCGCTGTCAGTGATGGTGGAGCTGGTCATCCTGATGACGGGATTCTGCGTCGAGTCACTGGAGTCACATTCCACCATCAGTATATCATCGGGACTTTCGTTCCTGTCAGAATTACTTTCAGTGTAAGTGCCGGTTGGGGATTTGTCCTCTATCACTGCCTTTAAATATGACTCGCGATCCATCATGGTGGCGTCGCGAGCTAACGCTAAGACATCTAGAGACATCATACTTTTGGACTTCTCAGTTTTACTCATCGGAGGATTAACAGTTTCGAAGATGACATCCCGACTGATGGACTTAGTTCTGGTCAAGTTGGAGTCAGTATTCCAGCTGTCGCTGGGCGGCTGTCTGTGCGCTGTGTTGGTGCTGGTCGTCGGCGCGCTCGAGTTGCGCGGAGAGCTCGCCGTGAACTTTGACCTCTTCTGCTGATTGTTCTCCTTCATCATGAGGAGCTGATCCAATTTATTTATAGTCTCGTTCAGTTCCTGAGTCCAGGCCTCATCTGTGTCCACGTCGCTGCGGTCTATCGGCTTGAGGGCGAGTTCTCTCACTCTCTTCCTCAGCTCCTGGAGGCTGGGTTCTTCGTCCTTTTCAAAGTCTCTAGGTTCTAGTTGATTTTCATCGTGTACAGGGTCCCGCTCCGCGCCGACGCCAGGCTCCCTTGGGCCCACAGGTATAGGGTCCTTGCCGGGAGGGTACTCCCCTCTCCGTCTGTGTATCTCCTCGGAGATCTCCTCTAGCGCCTTGAGTGATGTCGCGTACCGGAACTTGGCGTCAGCGATGAGACGCTGCAGTTTCTCTATCTTCTCATTCTGCATCTGCAGCTGTTCATCACAAAGTTTTTTTTCGTCGAAATATAAACGAGATTTGATGATGCTCCGTTTTAAGTTTTCTTCTAGTTGAGTTACCTGTAAGTTTAAATTATTATATCGTAATATCAATGTGTATGAAAAATTGCCGAAAAAAAATAATATTAAAAGGTCATCGTGTCATTTTGAGATGAACTTACGTTTTTTTCAGCGGCGATGTATGCGGCAGCTTTCTTCTGATGTTCACGTCCACTCTCAGTTTTTCTTTTTTCTGCGTCCATAACCTGAAATTAAACATTATATTACATTAAAATAAATAATTCTACAATAATATAAAATTAAATTTATTTCCAAACTTCAACATATAAAAACGGCAATTTACTAGCAATAAAGAACACTTGTATATTTAAGTGATATATAAGAGAGAGTATGGGTTGACTGACCTTGATGATGGCATGGTTGAGGACCTCCTGCCAGTTGCTGTCGAACTGCCACTCATCCTGTTTGCTGACGAAGCGCTGCTCCGCCAAACTCACAGTCTCCTTGGCCGCCGCGTGCAGCTCTACAATGATCCAACGGCGAAATTAAGCAGAGAAAATTCAAATTCAATACGAGGCAGCTATTCTTTAAAGTCAATAAACAGTGTTTAACACGAAATTTTGCGAGAAAGTATTCATAACGTCATCGGCAAAGTTTATATAAGATTTGTCGTTTTACGCCCGATTGAGGGAGTTGTACTAATCCACCCACATTTCGAATATGATTCGGTTCCCAATTTCAACAACTCTATTACTGGAATTTTATCTTTGAAATCTGGTCAGCTGTGATTGCGTAAACCGAAACGTAATTTGGTGCATTAAAGTGACGCATTTCCTTACATCATCTTACTTAAGTCAACAAAACTGCCAACAAAACGTCACATTTTATCGGCAATTCTATTTTTGAATTAAATAGCCTTTTCAAACTAAATTATTCATTTAAAAAAATGTACTAAATTACATTGACTGGACAATACATGCGCAAGTACAATCGCTATCAACTAACAAAACACATAACGATGTGAGCAAGGTCAGATATCGCGCAGAAT